AACGGCTGGCCACCGCGGGTCGCTGTTGCACCAGAGAAGGCACGGGATGGGCAGAAAGAAGGCAGAGATGGAGGTGGAGGGGGGAGGGGCACGTTTGGCTAGCGCATGGCTGCGAGTGGGTGGCCGAGTGCCCGGAGTTGGCCCCCCCGTGCCACTGACGGGCAGTGGCGACGGGGACGGGGGGGGGGCGCGGGAGAAGGCGAAAAAACGTCCATCGCCCCGCCGTCCATCCCCGCACCACCCGCTCACCCGTTGCGACCATGCGCCAGTTGCGGATGGCTGCAAGTGCAGAGACATCGGCTGTGGGCTGTGGAAGCAAAGGCAAGTGCGAGTGGGGGAGTGGATGGTGGTGGTCAGATTGGGAACGGGCAGTGCTGCAGTCCGACGTGCAGGCCGGAAAAGGTCTCCCGCGTGGGTGTGGGCAAATCGTACATTTTGAACTAAAAGATTCAAAGAGGGGTGGTCGATCCAACGGTCGTTTGCTCAGCTGGCGCCGTCGCGCCGTTTGGCCGCCACGACAGTCGCGCCACGAGATGTGACCGACGAGCGCCGCAACAATCTCGTCCGCCCGCGCCCGGCCGTCGCGAGCTCGAGCTCAATGTCTCCCGATGTGAATCCGAAAACTGTCGAATAATGTCACAGAGTCATATCAGCCCGTCAGACAATGATCACAAGTACGTCGGTAGAGGAATGGATCGTGATGGTAGTAGTGGGGGCGGGGGCACGCTGCTCTCGAGGCGGAGCGGAGGCTCGGCTCGCTGCCGACGCCCGGGACCGCGGATGCAGCTGGGTAGGAGAGCAATGAGGCGGCTGTCGAGGGGATCGAGCGGTCGGTCGACATCGCCACCCGCAGGTTCGCCATCACTGCCGCAAAATCGCCCACGGACATCTCAAAGCTCCACCCACGGTTCAATCAGTATGGGTGGAAGCGGCCAGCGCCGACCGGGCCGCGCTGGGCGCCGTAGCCCATCTGCGACGGGGCGATGTGGCCGGGCGGCGGCGGGTGGCGGGCGGCGAGCTGTCGCTGGCGCTGGCGGGCGGCGCGCATGCCGGCGTCCTCAAAGTACCCGGTGTTGTTGTTGCCGTGGTATGACATGCCGGCCGAGTTGGTCCGCGGCCCGCCGCGGTGGCGGCCTGACTGGTACAGATCCATCTCGGTGAGCGCCTGCGGCGGGAAGATCGAGCCTGGGAGGACGACGGCCTCGTGGACGTAGTCGTCGTACGGCGGCGAGGGAAACTCAAAGTCAGCCACCACAACGGCATTGCGGCGGATTGACGGCCAGCGGTCAAACTCGGCTGGTGGCGCGAGGTCTGTCCCGACTTGCGCAAGCGGCTCGGCGGCCGCAAACGCCTGTCCTCCCATGCCGGCCACGTCGATGAGGAGCTTGGCGCCGTCGCTGCCTTGGGCGTACGCCCGAGCCACAAACGGATAGACCTTGGCGTTGGCGGCATGGACAAAAATGACTTCGCGCTTGGGCGTGTTGCGCGCCCGCTCTGCTGGCGACAGCTCGCCGTCGACGCTCGCCAGCGCCTCCAGAAGCGCCTGCTCCTCGATGAACGGCAGGAGCACCACCGCCATCCACGACGCCCGGTGCCCGTTGAGGTCCAGCCCAAAAGTATCGGGGTAAAAGTGCACAATCGGCGAATCGCTCTCGGTCATCAGCCGCTGGTACGGCGCCGGCAGTGCGTCCTTGGACGCCGGCGGGAGGACAGCCATCAGCTGAGTCAGCGGCGTGAACGGCGTGCCGCGATCAAACTCGAGCTCTCCCTCAAAGTCCGCCAGCGAGCTCAGGTCCGACGCAAACGGTGCGTAATGGTACGGGTAGAACCATCTCCACGAGCAGCAACCCTGGTAGTAGTAGCGGTAGACCCAGACAAGGCCCTGAACGTAAGCTCGCGCCAGCTCGCGCCGGAACAGCGCGTTGCGCTCCAGGTCAACCTCAAACTTGGCCTTGTAGTACCGCTTCTTCCACCCCTCCTCCCAAAGCCGCACCTGATCCAGGTCGGCGCCGTCCGACTCGTTGTCTTCGACCTCAGTCTCGGCCTCAGCCTCCACCTCGGTCTCGGCATCCGCCTCGGCATCCGCTTCGGCATCCGCCTCGGCCTCGATCTCGGCCTCGGCCTCCGTCTCCGTCGCGGCCCCAGTCTCGACCTTCATCTGCGCCTCCCCCTTCTCCTCCTCCATCGGCACAGGCTCCACCTCACCCTCACCTGCGCTACTCTCCATGGCTGCCGCCTTGGCCACCTTGCCGCCGCTCGTCGGCATGATGGCAATGCCAGCGCGCTCGAGCGCAGCCGCAGAGGCTGTTGCGCCGCGCCGGCGAGCCGCCTTCATGGCGGCGCGGTCGAGGTTCCTCTTGCGGTCGCGGAAAACGTCCGACTCCATCTGCCCAATGACGTCGACAATGACCTGGACGCGATCGAGAATGAGCTCTCCGTTGGACGTCAGATGGCCGTCAAGCTTGGGCAGCTCCTCCTTGTAGATGCGGAGCAGCTTGTCGAGTGCGCCCTCGCGGATGCGGAGCGAGGGCAGGTGTGGCAAAAAGTCGTTACCCACAAAGAAGCAGAGAAAGACAAAGTCGTCAAGCGCGTTGTCGTCATCCCACGGAAACGGGACAGGCACTCGGAGTTCGTTGAGCAGGTACTCGCGGAGAATGCCGACGTCAACAATGTCGTACGGCTTGGGCGGCGCAGCCTTGCTTCCGCCCATCGACGCCGCCGCCTCCTTCATCGCCGCCAGCCCGCTCGGGTCGTTGCGGTACGGGCACGCCGACGCAATGTGGCCCGGCTTGCCGCAGGTGAAGCAGTTGGACGACCGCCGCCGGTCCTCGAGATGCTCGCGGAGAATGAAAAAGTGCGGCTCGTGTGTGGCCAGCGCAAGCATGATCAGGTCTGCGTCCGTCCCGTACAGCATGTGGTTGAGGTTCGGCTCGTACCGCGCGTCCAGTCGCTGGCTTCGGATGTACTCCATGATCTTGTGCTCACCCTCGCCCGGCACGTTCGAGTCCGACAGCATGACCACCAAGCCCTTCCACCCAGGCGCCGTGTTCATCCGCAGTGCAATGTAGTACCGCAGCGCCAGCGAGAGCGATGCCATGAACGGCGTGCCGGGCGTGATCACGTTCGAGTCCCACGCCTTCTTGGGCACCTGCGGCAGGGCGTGCCCGGCCTCTGCCGCAAGCTCCAGCTCACGCTCGTACTCCTCCTTGGCCTCCTGCGCCGTCCGGAACCGCCGTGCCCGCTGCTGGTTCGCCTTGGCTCGCGGCGCAACCCCATCAATCGCCATGTACACCATCCGCCGCGGCCGGGCCAGCGCCATGATGCGATCAATGTACGCAAAGACTCGCTCAAACATCTCAGCCTCGGACGATGGCGCTGCCCCATCCTCAGGATGACAGCACGGATGGATGATGCCGTTCATGTCCAGATACAGGTTGTCAAACTCGACGCCATTTGGATTCGGCTGGGCCACCACCAGCGGCGACGGCGACTCGGGCGCCTCCTCGGCACGGACAAGGATTTTCTTGTACTACGGATTCCAGCACACATGCACACAAGCCCCCCCCCCCCCCACAAATATGTATAAACAGAGCATACTCCGTCAAGTCTGTCAGTTTCCCGCCATGTTTCCCCCCTATCACTCTCTCCCCGCCCACTCGCACCTGCTCTCTCTCTCTCTCTCGCTCGCTCGCTCTCTGCCCGCCGATCACACGCTCGACGCCATCGTACCCGCCGAGTCAGCCAGCGGAAGAAGGCCGGCACTGAGGGAAGGGGGGGGGGGGTGAACAATGAAGAGAATGGGTGGTGAGTGAGATGGTGTTTGGAAGGAGGGGAGGGGAGGGGGAGGGGGAGGGGGAGGGGGGGGGACTTACCTCCCATGGTGAAGGAGAGTTGGGTGGTGACGGGCACGGGCGCGGTGTTTGGTCGGCGCGGTCCTCCAAAGACGGACTGACCGCGTGATGGCCCCGATCCGAGTTACCACTCAGGCGCTCACTGGGCTACAGGGTACATGATCGGGGAGACAATGACATAGAGCAGTGCCGCAGGTCGTGTTATACTCTAGGCAGGGTAGGAGTGCTTCGTGGGCGACGATCAGCTCTTTCAGCCCTTTGATCGGCGACCGGGGAACGGCTTGGTCGGCTTGGCTTTGGGCTTGGACCTCGGCTCGGTCTTGACCTTAAACTTTCCCTTGCCTTTGGCCTTGGTCTTGGCCTTGGCCTTGGCTTTGGCCTTGGCCTGGGCCTTGACCTTGACCTTGACCCTGCCTCTCGACGCGGGCTTGGACTCAGAGTCGACCTTGGCGATCGGCATCGGCGACGGCGAGGGGCAGGAGCGGGCGACGGCGAGCGCACGACACGGCTTGGTCTTTCCCTTGGGCTTAAGCTTGGGCTTGGGCTTGGACTTGGCGCGAACACGGGCGCGGGCGCGAGCCTGGCCGCGAGTCGGCTTGGCGCGGAGAGACGAGGTCGAGCGCGACGAGATGACAATGGCCGACGACGACTTGCGCAGCTTGCGGCGGCGCGACTTTGCACCGGTCCGACGGGTACGGGTCTGCGTGCGCGAGACACGACGCTTGGCCCGGGCCTTGGCGGCGCGACAGATGGAAGACGCGGCAGCCGAGTCGTCGAGCTCGTCGTCGGTGTCACCACCGTCGTCGCCGCGGGACGCCAGCGATGCGTGGAGAACGGCGAGCTCGGCAAGAGTGTCGTCGCGGACGGTTGCGCCAGGCCCACCCAGCTCAACGAGCGTCTCCAGCAGAGCGGTGCCCATTGAGGAGAGGTCGTCGCGCACAAAGTGGAGGCCGGCAAGCGGGCCGGCTGTTGCGCCGCCAAAGGTCGACTCGAGAGTGTACGAGTTGGCGATGCCAAGCTCGCGGGTGAGGACAACGCGGGCAGTCGACTCCTTCGACTTGGAGACCTTGAACGAGCACTGCGAAAAGGAGAAGAGGAGCGAGCGGCGATAAAGAAGGCGCGGAAAGACTTGCGCGGCGTAGGGCGGCGAGCCGGGCGTGGTGTCCTCGCAGCCGTACATGAACATGGCGTGCGCTCGCGAGTGAGCGTGGACGTCGACGGCCAGCGCAACCGGGTGCAGGTTATGAAAGGCGGCAATGGCGGCCTTAGCGTGAAAGATCGACGGAACAACTAGCGACGACGGCTTGGCCCACTGACGGTTGAGGTCAACGCCAGCCAGCGAGCACCGGTAGTTGCCGCGGATGACTCCATCGGGGTTGAGCATGGGGATGACAAGAAAGTCAAAGGTGGACCGGAGCAGAGCGCCGGGCCCGTGAGGCGCAAGGAGGGCCTCGAGCAGGCCGTCCATGATCCACGATGACGGCGACTCGCCGGGGTGGACTCGGGCGGTAAAGACAATGCCAGGGCGCGGCGCTGGCGCGCTCGGCTCGCTCACCCGCAGCATCGGAACTGGATTGCCAGCCAGCGTGTGGCAGAGCGTCGAGAGGTGGACTGTGCCGGGAGGCAGCACCTTGCGCGCCGCCGCAGTGAGACTCGCCAGCCGCTTGCGGAGGAGGGTGTAGGTGTAGGGATAAGCATACGCAATGTATACAGTGTCTCCGGCGTGTGGGAAGCGGAGCGAAAAGCTGAGCTGATAGTAGTAGGCGGCGCGCGTGCCCGGACGCTTGCGCTTGGTCTTGGTGTAGCAGACGTCAAAGCCGGCATGCCACCACGACTTGCCCGACCGCGCCGCCTCGGCATCCGAGTACACCACCGGCAACTGGCCGCGGTTGAACGTCGAGTCGGGCTTGATAAAGTTGGTGATGGTAAAGGTGTAGCTGACGCCCGGCACCACGCCGCTAATAGCAAAGTAGAACCACTGCGCATGACAGAGCGTCCCAACGTCGGGGGCCATCGTCAGCTCGTACTCGGCCGGCCCGACTCGTATTGCACTCGCGAGATTGCCCGACTCGAACCGCGCCGAGAAGACCAGGACGGGCGGGTGCCCGCCGCTTGCTGGCCACTCGGCCCGCGCCACCTCGAGCGCACGCGGCGAGACCGGAACCGGCTGGCTCGCGTCGTAAACTCTCGTTCCACGCCCAGCCGATGCGCGGCTCCGCCGCCCGCCCCGGCTGCGACTGCTGCTCTCGTTGCCGCCGTCTGCCGTAGACGTCCACAGCGGCTCGCTGCTGCTGCCGCCGACTCCAACCTCTGCCCGCGACGCGTCGAGTCCCGCCAGAGGGCCGGGCCACTCGATGCCGTAAAAGCTGGCTGATGTCGCCGGCGAGAACGGGACAACAGCCTCGGGCGCCTGCCTCAGCGCCCGACCAAGCCCGCCGCCGGTTCCCGAGCCACTGCCCGAGCCATACGGGTTCGGACTCAGCGTCCGAGAACCGTCGTAGCCATCGTAACGCGAGCCGTATCCGTAGCCAGATCCAGAGCCAGAGTCAGAGTCAGAACCAGAACCAGAGCCGGAACCAGAGCCAGAGCCAGAGCCAACCATCGATGGGCTGTCAAGCTCCGAGTCGGAGAGGCAATGGCGAATCTCACGGCCGCCCGGCCAGAGGACGCCATTGTCGGCATCAGCACCACTGCCGCTGCCGCCGCCATCACTATCCCCACCTTCAGTGGCAGCAGAAGTGGCGGCGGAGGGTCTGGTCTGTCTGGTGACGTGGGCTCTGGTTCTGGGCGAGGCGGCAAGGCCTGCGCCCCAGATCATGGCCGGGTCGACAGGACGGGCCACGCCCTGAACCCGACTCTGTTCCCCGCCTTGCGCCGCCCGCACAGCGCGGACCAGCGATGGACTGAACAGCGACTCGATGTCATCGTAAGCCTGTCGTCTTGCATCGAGCCCACGCGTGGCGACATGCCCATGTGGGGAAAGCAACGAACGTGTTTGAAGCGAACCATGGCTTGCATGACTTGCAGGTAGCGACGAGTTGGCGAGGCGTCGTACCCCACCTCCCGCTCCTCCTCGCCCACTACCAGCCATGTGAAGCAGGGGGGGGTGGGGGGTGAGGTGTGATGTGGGGAAGGAGTTCTGGGTTGGGCATGTGGTGGGGTGGGGGAGGGGGGGAGGGGAAGGGGGGCTGGGCATGGCGCGCACGCGTTCAAAGTGATGGTGATTAATCGTTGGCCTTATTGGTTGGCGGGCGGGCGGGTGGACGGGCGGATGGAGGAGGATTCTCAACGAGTCGACGGATAACGAAAGACATCGGTCACCACTCGTCGTCACCCGCCAAACATGTCGATCGCCGACGTGGTGGACGCCGGCGACCCGCGGGACCTGTACGAGATCATTGAGAAGGTCGGACGAGGCTCATATGGGTCGGTCTTCAAGGGCATGTCAAAGGCTACTGGTGCCGTCGTCGCTATTAAGACCCTGGCTCTGGAAGAAGGCGAGGTACGTGACCAGAGTGAGCCCCCCCTCCCCCCCTGGGCCGCCAGTTGTCGGAAATTGGGCTCTTTCGCCCCTCCCCTTGCACCGGCTTTGGCCGCCACCCCATGCCGACGACGCTATGTTCGCCAAGTTCTGAAAGGTGGTGGGGGGGAGGGGAGAGGGGATAGAAGGGCGAGAAGGGGGGAATGAGGGGGGGAAGGGGAAGAGGGAAGAGGGACAAGGGATGGGGGAGGGTAGACCTAGACTGGTGGGGAGCTGAAGCCTGCTTGTGGTGGTGCCGCTCGGCTGGCTGGCAAGTGGCCTTCCTTGCCGCTCGCTGCGTGTTGAGTTGTCGACTGCCTTTGGGGCAAAAAAACGTGAGAGACGAGAGGCGGGAGCAGGGGAAGGAAAGACGGGGGGAGGGCAGTGGGAAGGGTACAAGGGGGGGGAGGCAAGGACAGCGTGACTCATGGAGAGTATGTGGGGTATGGTGTGGGTGTTGGGGGATGTTTGCCGGTGTGTGTGGAGGACAGGACCTCGAGGATGTCATCAATGAGATTCGCATCCTCAAGCAGTGCGACCATCCGAACATTGTCAAGTACTTTGGCTCGTACATGGTGGACGACGATCTGTGGATTGTGATGGAGTTTTGTGACGGTGGCTCTGTGCTTGACATCTACGAGGCGCTAGACTCGCCGCTGGCCGAGGCGCAGATTGCGTACATTGTGCGCGAGTCGTTCAAGGGACTGCTGTACTTGCACGAGAACGGGATGATCCATCGCGATATCAAGGGCGGCAACGTGCTCCTGACCTCTGACGGGCGGGTGCTGCTTGCGGACTTTGGCGTTTCTGCGATTCTCAACACGACACTCTCCAAGCGCAACACGTTTATTGGGACGCCGTACTGGATCGCGCCCGAGGTGATCATGGTGGAGTCTGACGGCGACCCATACGACGCCAAGGCGGACATCTGGTCGATGGGCATTACTGCGATCGAGATGGCTGAGCTCGGCCCACCATACGGCGACGTGCACCCGATGCGTGCGCTGTTCCTCATCGGCTCTGCGCAGCGCGTGCCGTCGCTCCACGACAAAAAGGCGTGGAGCTCGGCATTCCACGCGTTTCTGGAAGCGTGCCTTGTCAAGGACCCTGCCGGACGGCCGTCGGCGGTTGAGATTCTAGAGCACGAGTTTCTCAAGAACGCGCCGACGTCTGCGGCGATTCTGACCGAGCTCATTGAGCAGGCGCGCGAGGCCGAGGCCAACGCGTCGTCAGGCTCGGACTCGGGCTCGGACTCGGACTCGGACTCGGACTCAGAGTCGGACTCGGGCGGGCGGCTGGGACGATGATGCGGATGAAGGCGGGCGAGGCGCCCAAGTCGGACACGACGTCGGATGAGGACGACTCGGGCACGTTTATCAAGAAGAAGATGCCGGAGGCTGCCGCGCCTGCGGCGGCGGTGCCGGACGTGGCGGTGCAGGGCTCGGACTCGGACTCGGATGAGGACTCGGACGCGGACGGTGCGAGCGCGGCGACCAAGGCCAAGGCTAGCAAGGGCAAGTCGCCTGCGGGCAAGAACAAACCGTTGGCCAAGAACGTGGACTCGCTCAAGGTCGGCGTGGCGACGCATGGGCGGGCTGACTCGACGGTGTCGTCGACGCTCCGGCCTGCGTCGACGACGCCGCTGCACCAGGTGAGCGTTCCGGAGGGCTACGCGCACACTTTTGAGGCGCAGGCGCTGCTCCGCGACTTTACTCGCGGAGCCAATTGCGCCGACAACTGGGGCGAAAAGCTGTTCATCGGCACGTCCAAGGGCATCTACCTGTTTGACCCGCACGCGGCGAGCCCCGAGCTGACGCTCGTTCGGGTGGTCAAGGTCAAGTGTGTGGAGCTGATTGTGATCGAGGAGCTCTCGGTAGTGGTCACCATCTCGGGCTCGTCGTCGCAAGTGGTGGTGTACGAGCTGCGGTCGCTGGCGGGCGCCGGCAAGAAGAAGAAGAAGACCAAGGCCGGGGCGGTGCTGGCGTCGACCAAGAACTGCCACTCGATCTTTATCGGCCGCGACGGCGAGGACAACTCGAACTTTTTCCTCTGCGCAGCCATCAAGAAGAAGCTCTACCTCTGCGAATGGGCGCCGCACCCATACAACAAGTTTATGCATCTGGTCGAGTTCTCGACCTCGTCGCGGACGCAGGTCGGCCTCCTGTTCAAGGACCCGACAACCAACATCCTCTCCAAGATCATCTGCGGCTCGGTGTCAAACAAGACCGAGCTCAACATCATCGACATTGCGTCGTACAAGACCTCGGAGCTGGCGTCGTTCAAGGGCAAGGCGCCGCCGGCGGCGGTCCTCCACCTCGACGGCTACACGGTCCTGTTCTCGTTCAAGACGTCGGCCAAGGCCATCGACATCCGCACCGGCGCCACAGTCTTTGAGTTTGAGTGGGCCGCGCCCGTCGTCGACGTCGTCTACAACGGCTCCAACTACATTGTTGGCTTTACCGACAAGTCGGTCGAGTTTGTCTCGCTTGACAACCACAACGTCTGCCAGACGCTCTCGCACGCCTCGCCGCTCAAGTACCTTTGCCAGTCAGACTTTATCTACATTGCGTCGATGAAGAAGAAGACCACAGGCGTTTTCAAGATCCAGGCCAAGCGCCAGCGCTCGCCCGTCGACCGGCTGCGTGAGCGCAAGCAGGCAGCCGCTTAACAACGTTGTTGCTCATAGCCGTGCAGTAGTGCCCTGGACCACTCACGCGTCGGCTGTATGATGCGATGAACAAACATTGAACAAACTGTCCGCTCCTTTTTAGGTGAGGGTGGGTGTGGGTGGAGGGAGAGAGGGGAGGGGGAAGGGGGGGGGGGGGGGGGGCGGGTAGTGGTTGGCGAGAGGAGGAGCTCACCTATGCACCAAGGCACGCACCACTCACCGCACACACACACACACACACACACACGCAAACACACACAAACACACACACCACGTACACTACATACACACACACTGCATACCATGCAATCGTCTGACGGGTGGTTTGACGACATGGAGTTGGGCGAAGACGACCTCGCCGCACCAGCCTACGACGATGGCATCGGCATGGGTGGCGGAGCAGGGGCTGGAGCTGAGACTGGGGCTGGGGCCGGGGTCGGGGTCGGAGCTGGTGGCCTGGGCATGTCAGCAGGGACGGCGGCGGCGGCGGCGGTGCTGATGGAGTCGGGCTTGGCGGCCAGTCTCACGTCGTCGCTGGTCGACTCGACGAGCCAGTCGACAAGCAGGCTGGTCAAGAGCTACGCCAAGGTCGATGTGGTGCGGCCGTACTTTGATGTGGAACACAGCGATGTGGTGCGAAGGCTCGGAGAGTCTCTTGTACCGCTGCCATCCATGGCGGCAGTGGTGGGGAAGCCCGACTTGTATGGCCCACTCATGTGCGCTCTCACCCTGGTCGCCGTCCTCCTCCTCGGCATGAAGGTCTCTCACCACACCCTGCACGAGGGCACGCTCATGGGAACCGCCCTTGCAGTCGTCTTCTCGTACTGGATCGGCGCAGCTGGCTTCTTTTACATCCTCGGCTATCTGCTCTCCGGCAACGACCACCTCGCCTTTATCCCGGTCTTCTCGCTCACGGGCTACGCCCTCTTCTCGGCGTGCATCACCCTGCTCGCAAGCTCGCTCCTCGCTTCGTCTAATGTCTTCTTTGCGCTTTTGTTTATTGTCGCCGGTGCCGCCGGCGCCAAGCTAGGCGCCGTCCTCATGACCCGCGCCCAGTCGAAGCGCAATGGGCTCATTCTCCTCGCCGTCGTCGTCGTCACCCACCTCATATTCGTCTTTTACCTCCGCTGGTCGTACGTCTACGCCGTCTCGGCCGTCGATGCCACCATCGCTGACGTCTCGTCTGGCATGCTCCCCGACGGCGCCCTGGCCGAGCCCGAGCCCGAGACGGTGTCGACTCTGCAGCCTGACCAGAACTCCGGTTCTGGGGATGGGGATGGAGGTGGAAGCGGAAGCGATGGAGCAGCGACGTCGACCTCTAGTAGTGGTGATGCTGGTGATGTTGGCGACGCTAGCGATGCTGGCGACTCTAGCGATGCTGGCGATGCTGGCGACGCTAGCGATGCTGGCGACGCTAGCGATGCTGGTGTAAGGTAAACCCCAGGCGGAGCAAAAGGAGCAAGTAATGGCCAGTGCCCGAGATATGTATATCTCGATGGAGGTAGAGGAGTTAGCAGACAGGCAGAGTGGCAAGTGGCCGGCAACCGGGTTGGCGCGGTCAGTCGGCCGGGTTGACGCGCGGTCGGTCGGTCGGTCGGTCGATTGGGGGCGGGCGCAAAGGGGGGGCGGGGCGGGCGCAAAGACGGCGGCAACGCGACACACGCGACTGTCAATTTTGGCGCCAAGACGAAGCATATGCTTGGGCTGACACTGCGAGCACTGCCTGTGAGCCGAGTTGGATGCCGTATGGTGAGCAGCAGCGTTGTGGGATGCGGGGCATCTGTCCTTGCCTCTGACGCACCTCTTGCTGGTACCAACCTCACACCGTCCATCCTGGTCGTCGGTGTCGGTGGCGGTGGCTGCAATGCCGTCAACAACATGATCTCGCGCGCTCTCACAGGCGTCGACTTTCTCGCTTGCAACACCGATGCTCAGAGCCTTGCTCAGAGCCTTGCCCATCGGACACTTCATCTTGGTCGTACTGGTCTGGGTGCTGGTGCCTCGCCGCGTGCGGGTTATGATGCCGCTGCCTTTTCCTACGACGCCATCATGGACGAGCTCAAGGGCAACAACATGGTGTTTCTCACCGCCGGTACGTGGGGACATGCCGTCAGGGACTATGGTGACTACTCCCCCATCCCCTCCATCCCCCATCCCCCTCCACTCACTCTCTCACACACTCACTCTCTCTCTCTCTCCTCTTTCCTCTTTTCCTTCTCGTGTGGCCCTCGATGTGTAGGTATGGGTGGCGGGACCGGGACTGGTGCGTCGCCGGTCATCGCGGCGGCGGCGAGGGAGCTCGGCATTCTCTCAGTCGGCATCGTGACCAAGCCGTTCCCGTTCGAGGGCGGGCGGCGGCGGCGGCAGGCTGAGGAGGGTATTAGCGAGCTGGAGAAGTACGTTGACACGCTGCTGGTCATTCCCAACGAGAACCTGCTCTCGCTTGGGCGCAACATCACCATGGGCAACGCGTTCCAGGCTGCCGATGGCGTGCTGTACGAGGGCATCCGTGGCGTGACCGACCTCATTGTCAACCCAGGCCTGGTCAACGTCGACTTTGCCGATGTCACCACCGTCATGTCCAATAAGGGACGGGCCCTCATGGGCTCGGGCGAGGCCGAGGGCGACGACCGCGCGTCGGTGGCGACTGCGCAGGCGCTGGCCAACCCTCTGCTCGAGAACGTCAACCTCGCCCATGCCCAGGGTGTCCTCGTTTGCATCTCGGGCGGCGATGACCTGACGCTCTTCGACGTCTCCACAACCACAGAGACCATCCGCGCCTCGGTCGACGACGACGCCAACATCATCTTCGGCTCGTCGTACGACCCGGCACTCCCGGAGGGCACCATCCGCGTCTCGGTCATGGTCACCGGCCTCGACCCAACGTTCAAGCAGCGCGTTGCCCCGGCGCCGGCGTCGGCCCCGAGCAAGTCGGCCATCGCCCAAGGCGTCCTCACCTCGGCCGCCAAGCCCGCAGAGCCGACCGCCGCCAAGCCTGCTGCCTCCAAGTCGCGTGCCAAGCCGGTCGAGATCTCGTCGATCGGCCAATCGGTCTCAGACAACGCCAAGAGCATGTGGGCTTTCCTCAAGCGCCATGCCTAGACCGGCACGCAGGCCGACGCATACACAACACTTCTCTTCTCTTTGACTAAACCCCTTGTATCCTGCTTCCTGCTTCCACAGTGCTAGCTTGCCGCCAGCTTCTGAAGCGCAGCATCGCGCTGAGCCGCAAGCGCCAAGAACTGCTGCTTGAGCGCAGTGTACTTGGTGAGAAGTGTGGCGTAGACCGGCGAGGCCTTGACCTCGGCCTTGGTCGGCGTGCTCGACTTGCTCGGCATGCTCGATTGAGAGAGCTGGGTTGGAGCTTGGTTCGACTGGGGTGCCGCGGCAGCAGCTTCAGCAGCTGTGCAGCGGGCCTCGAGCTTGGCATTGCGCTGGCGGAGCGCGACGAGCTCGTCGAGAACCGATGCCGTCGCGCCCGACTCGATGGCCTGCAGCGCCGAGGCGACCGCATCGTAGCGGAGTTTGGCATCTTCGGCCTCGTCGCGGGCTGCTTGAATGGCTGCCTGCAGCTTGGCAGTGATGACTGCAGCCTGCTTGGAGAAGAGCTTCTGCGAGGAGGCCAGCTCGGCGCGGACCCGATCAAGCTCTGCGGCCAGCTCGGCCTCGCGGGTCGAGTGCAATTCCTGATCGAGCGAGCCCGTCGAGGCAAGGGCCGACACTGACGGTGAGATTGGCGTTGTTGGCGGCAAGCTCGACGGCATGGCATCAAACGACGAATCCTTGCTTGTTGTCGCAGGAATCTGCATAGCTTCGGATGAGTCGTCATCGATAGGCGAGGGCAGCGCCTTGACTCCGCCGCCAAGCGAGCCAGAAGGCGAGATAAGGGTGAGCCTGATGTCAGCGCCGGTTGCGGGTGACTTGGACACCGAGTTTGACGAAGTGCGGCGACGGCGGCGATGCTTGCCCTTCTCCTTCTCCTTCTCCTTCTCCTTGCTCTTGCCCTTGTCCTTGCCCTTAACCTTGCACTTGTCCTTCCGCTTCTTGGCCTTCTCCTTCCGCTTGCGCTTTTCTTTCTGGTCACGGCGCTTCGCCCTTTCCCTCGCCTTGTCCGATTCGAGTTCGTCAGTCACTGCTGCCGCTGCCGCCGGCCCCATTCGCACGTCCTCGGTCGAGTACGAGTTGCTCGGCCGCGGCGACTGGACAGGCGTCCGCACCGGTGTCACCGCCAGCGCGGTGCCAGAGCGTGCAGCGGCAAGAGGAATGTCTGGAAAGCGGCCTGACTTGGGCGAAGTGAGTGAGTAGCCCGATGAGGAGCGGACCGGCGAACTGTTTTCAGACCGTTGCGGAGAGTGCGCATGTCGCTGCTGCGAGTGATGTCCAGGCCGCGAGCCTAGCCCGCCGTCCACCGCCTCGAGCGCCCGTGCCACCTCCGAGTCAGACGCCGAGCCCGAGCCCGAGCCCGAGCCCGAGCCCGACGACGAGACGGTAAAATCCTCCAGAGAGTATCCGTTTCCTGCGCCGGCTCCCCGGGCCGCGCCATAGCCGCCAAAGCCAGGCGCCTCGCCGCGGCGATCACCAGCACGGTGGCCGCGAGTGGAGCCTCGACTCTGATGATCACCACGCCCAACGCCATCACCATGACCACCATGCCCGTCATCTAAGACGATGCGTCGTCCACCGCCGTCGACTCCGCCGTGCCAGCTCCCACGGCCGGCACCGTCGTCTGTCGCGCGCAACTCGCGGCGGAGGTCAGCCGACGAGCCCGGGCGGACCGCGGCAACCGACCTGGGGGCGGCAGTGCCAGCAGGCGTAGCAGAAGCAGTCTGTCCAGCAGAAGGCCTCCGTCCACTTGTTTCTCCGCTTCGCATGCCTGTACCAGGTCCGCCCGCCGTCCATGATGACGCCGTCGTCGTCCGACTCGCCCGCCCACCTCGGCTCACCTCACCAGGCATAGAAGGTGAAGGGGAAGGGCGCGGGGGTGGGTGGGTGGAGGGGATGGTGTGCTCCCTTTTCCCTTTTGCCACACGCGGTGTCCCTGGCTCTCCCTGGCAATGTCACCCGTCGAGGG